CAGCTGAATAAGTTGAATGACTTATGGAGGATTAATTTATGCTGGATAGGATGGTTACTAAATTATATATATATAAGTATGGTGCCATGATATGAGCTTGAGTCTCAGGATCAGTGGTTAGGGTGCGTATATCGCCAGGAATGTGTAGCTAGATATAGTGTAGTTGTGTACCCTGGTAGGTCTAGGTACTCATGCTCACTATATGTGCATTTTGCATGTTGCCTACTATTCAGGTTGAGACAACCCTATAGTCTAGTGAGGTTCCTTTAGTGTGTGTATATATTGATGAGCACTGAAAAGTGCGCATTTAAACCCGTTAAGCTTAAGCATTCTAGTACCTTTATCTATCTTACTTTGCCGTTTTAGACTTATTACGTGTTATTTATATTTTCAGGCACTAATCCCAAAATTGAGCTAACTCAGCCAAATAAGAGCTTAATTGAAGCAATCCTGAGATAAACCAAAGGAGGGAGCAAGGTGGAGAAAGAAAGGAGCAAAAAGGAATCAAAGTTGTGTAGCTGAAAAGTTCGATCGATCCAACTTAGAGTTCGATCGATCGAACATCTATGATCGATCACAGTACTTCTCGATAGATCCAACCTTGGCCTTTGCTGAAATTCCAAGTTCGATCGATCCAACATCACCTTCGATCGATCGAACCCTATTTTGTCCTATTCAAATGATTGATCTTATCCACAGCTGTACGCCTACCAACCACTTTTGTCCTTTTCCCCATAAATATCTTCGAAATATCTCAGCCTTGTCCTTATCCGGAGGAGTCAGACCACTTCGATCGATCCAAGATGCAGTTCGATCGATTGAACCCATCTTCGATCGATCCAAGTTAAGGTTCGATCGATCGAACTTCCTCCAGCGAGAAAAAGTTAAAGTCCAGCTTATTCCGTCCTTCATCCAATCATTGGAGAATATGCCTTGCACGACCACAGCTCATCATAGGGTGTATTTGACCTACCTATATAAGGAATATGATACACTTTTTGAAAAAGGCTCTAGAGTTTCTTGTCACACATTGAAAATCATCTTGGAGGCTCTTCTTGGAGAGGAGGAAGGAGGGAAGCTAGAGCACCATTGGAGGAGATCTTCACCAACAAGGAGCAGCCATGGAGTTAGCCCTTGAGGGTTGGATCATCACTACCATGAGTGGCTAGACATCTTCTTGGGGCTAGAGTTAGCCCCAAGCATGCTTTCTATACTCTAATCTTGTGTATTATTAAGGGATTAGTGTTGTATGATACATCTTGATATTCATGTATATATAAATCTTGATTATTTCATGGTTTGTATAGTTTAATGCTTCCAATTGACTATTCTATTCTATCCATATGTCTATGTATGCTAGAGTAGGATATTCATGTGCTTATCTCTAGATTTAGTGTTTTTGATGCATGTCTATGTGTATTGATGCTATAGATCTAGAGATTATCAAGATGATATGCTTAATGAATGCTATTTTGGTTCATTTGATGGTTTATGCCTATTCTTGATGGTTTGTGCCTCTCCCCTAGTCTAGATAGCCTTATTTTCATGCTAGTAGTGTAGATTTAGTATAGTGGTAGTGTAATGTTAGATGGGAGGACAATCTACTCTTGATGTTTGATGTTCCATGCTTGTGAGTCCAAATGGCATATTCCTCTAATATTGTGTTGTATGTGGATTGTGAGGTTAATGAAGGATTAATGACTAGTTATGATATGTTGTATCTTGCACATGTGTTTAGAAAATTTATTCCTCTCCCAATAGATATTTTGTACCTCTCACATGATATTTAGATAATGCATGTTTAACTAAGTCATCCTTATGGATTGCTTGGACTATGAGCTTAATGAAAGGTTCAATGACTTGATTTGATATTTTGTTCTCTTCACATGATGTCTAGACAATATATTCCTCTACCAATAGATGTATTGTGGCCTCACACATGTTGATTGAGACAATTTGCACTTGTTGAGTCACCCTTACCAATTGAATGTCTTTTAAACACACAACATTGTTGCAACACATTCATTTCCCTCAATTGATCACTTGTTAGTAGTATAGAAAAGTATTGTTTGGTGGTGATCTCTACACCCCAAGACCTTTCCTTCTTACTTAGTTTTATTTTTATTGCATTTTAATTAATTATTTTCTAGAAGTAATCAACCAATCCAACTCTCTTTTGCAATTATTTGGTACGCTAGAGTCGAAGTTGAAATTCCAACACGTATAATCCCTTGGGACGATCCCTACTCACTCTTGCTACGTTAGTAGTGGTGTTGGTAGTGGTTTTTATAAATTTAAATTTGACATAAAAGACTTTTCTTGAACCACACATTCACTACATTTAGTTTGGCGTATTGGAACGGCCGTCGTCATATATATATACGGACTACTAGTTACTGTTGGATTGACTAGGATGTATACGTGTATCGGATCTCTGCTTGGATTGTAGTAGAGTAGAATTTGTTTGTGGGCCTGACCCACCATTATTTTTCAGGTGTTCGTCAGGAGTAGAGGTTGTTCGTGCCGAGCGGGGATCAGTCTACTTCATTCTTCCGATGCTACATAGGAGTTCCTTTATGATTCAGTTTCCCGATTTAGACAATTATTGTTGTCATTTGTTTAGTTTGGATTTTCTAGGGGTCCACACAGTATGGATCCCCAAGTTGTATTTTGGAGGATCAGTTGTATTAGAAGAGTTTATTAATTAATGGAAATATATTCTGAGGTTTATTATTAGATTATCATTTTAGTTTCTTGTCAGCATTTTATTTATTCTTCTTTATTCTTTTGTACTCTGTGTTCGTTTATTGCTGATTTTGTTTTTGATATTCTCGGGTATTCGGGCGTGGGCCTGGCCAACTCGCATTCGGAAATTCGGGGGTATCACAATGGCTGCCCAAAGAGCCTTAACTCTGAGATCAACATCGGCAAAGTGGGTGCTACCAAAACGAGCAATCGTCATCAGGCCAGGGTAAATCAACGCTCTGATACCAACTGATAAGGTACTTTGAATCCACAAAGTAGAAAAAATTCATATAGAATTCTAAAATATTATTAATAAAAGGTTCAAATTTTTTGCTCTTGCATTACATGTATATTTATAACAAAGAAAAAAATCCCTAATACTGAAAAGGAAATTAAATGCTTAAGTAAACTAAAAACACAAGGAAATCTAATATAAGAAAAGAAAAAATATAAGAAAATTACTTAAACCAAAAACTCTCTAAAAATATAATATAAAATAAAAATAAATAAATAAACCTAATTAAAAAAAAATACTAAAATCTGTTCTACATCAACATAAGCCCTTCATTTCTTCTAATTTGTAGATTAATAGTTCTTGATTAGATCTTTGGCCATAAGGTACGAGACATATTCAAAAGAAGGATCAACTATCCCAAGAACAACTCTAGCAAACTATGAAGCTCTGTAATATGTTACTTCCTTGACAATAGATCGCGACAAGATCATGCGGACTTTATGGTTCCCAAATTCACAAAACTCAATGAAGCCTTAATCACAATTACCAGGGGTCCGCTGCATGAATCCATCTTCTCTAGTTACCTTTTCTTCAAATATAATATCTACTTATCAATTTTTTACTTCATATCTCTATAGATTTTGCAATCAGATAAAAGAAAATGTGCATTCAATATAGTCATTTAATGAACGATATACATATAGGCAGAATTTGTATATACATCTTGGGGATCTATTGTATCCAGCACCATTTATCTATGTGTGACATGACAGTCATGTTTAAGCATGAGATATGTTCATGTTCAAGGATTATAGCTGCAAAATGACTTTATCTAGGCCGGTCAGATCTGCTTTCGGCGTGGGGGTGTGGAAATCCATTGGGAAGGGATATGATGAGTTCTCTAAGTATATTAGATTTAGAGTTCGGGAAAGAAGGGACATTCGGTTTTGGGAGGATACTTGGTGCGAGGATTGCACATTGTCTTTTTTGTTCCCAAGGTTGTTCAGGATTGTTGTTAATAGGGTAGCTGAATGTTATCGACTCGATAGCGGTACGTTGTCATAGGATGTGTGGTTCCGGCGATCCTTTCAAGATTGGAGTTGGATGACGTCATTGGCTTACTAGACCATTTGTATAGAAAGGAGGTGGATGGTATTGGTTGGATTCCTCGACTTGGGGCCTTCTTCACATGGGACTTTTCAGGTCCGTTCTTTTTTTCTCTGCCTCTCCGGGTTTCACGGTTCCAATTTCCCATGGAAAACGGTTTGGCATTCGAAGGCTCCTCTAATGGTGGCATTTTTTGTTTGGACTGCAGCTTAGGGCAGGATCTTGACTTTGGACAATTTGAGAAAGAGAAGACAAATCATAGTCAACCGGTGTTGTCTGTGTAAGAATAATGGAGAGTCTGTGGATCACCTTCTGCTGGAGTCTTACTTTGGGTCTATTTGGTGTCCAATGGGTTATGCCCCGAACTTCAAGGGATATGATTGACGTTTGGAGGGGCAAAAGGGTGGGGGCTCATGCTCGTGAATATTAGAGGGTGACCCCCCCTTTGTGTTTGGTGGAGTCTTTGGAAAGAGCGGAATAGAAGATCTTTTGATGGGGAGGAATTCTCCATTGGGGCATTGTAGTTTCTATTATTTGTTCTCTTTTTCGTTGGCTTATTGGAAGAAATTGTATATCTTTAGATGAAATCATGGACTTTTTGGGTTCTTTGGTCCATAGGACTCCCTTTTTTTATTTCGGTTTTTGTACAGAGTTCCCCTTTTGAACGCTTTCTAATACAATTTTACTTATCAAAAAAAAAAAAAACTTCATGTTGAAAGGCATCATCATCCCAAAAACAAAGAAAATGCCTTTGTAATAGAAAATGCCATTCATTACTTGTGTTACAAAAAAACAAAAAAAAAAACTTATTTGTCAATCTTTTGCGAATAAACAGATGTAGTGAAAAGCAAAAATTATAAAACATTAAAAAAAAACAAGTACAAATAGTGAAATCATGACATAGAAAAGATACCTGTTTCTCATTCACAAAGATGCTCACAAACTCACCAATTCTGCCAGCCCTTCGCAACTTTCTCAATGTATAAGCAAAATGTTAAGCATGGAGTGAGTTATGTAGGGTGAGGAGACAAATAAATGAATAATACAGAATTTTAGTAAAAAACATGCACAGACATACAGAACAGTCAATCTTAAAGGATCAATGCACACCTGTGGCCTCCGATGCTTGCCAAGAATAAGCCCATTCAATAAAATCAGATATGAATTTGGCGTATGAAGTTCTTCTCCAGAGAGTAGTTCCAAATTTTCAACTCCCAAACAGTAACACTGATACAATAACCATAACATGTTATAATACGTAAATAAAAATGGAAGGGCAACAGAAAAAATAATACGTACAAGCATAGCATGAAACCAGCATTGACTCTACAAATCTTCAGCATCTGCTAAGCAACAGGTTTTCTGATTTCTATTTCTATTTTTTACCTCAACAATGTGCTATGAAATGAATTCCTACAAGTGTTAAAAACAATTCAAATGCATGCCAATGTAGTTAAAAATATGCAGATCCTAGAAAACTAATTCAGAATGCTATTTCTTCCCAACCACTTCAACAGAAGATTTGCAATATCCCATCATTTCAGCTGAATAAAAACCCCTTAAAAAAATCCAGATATGAATTATCTTTAGGTTTAACAATCATTTAATAATTTCCTTCTCCAAGGGCAGAATTTCTAACCAGCATTTCAGCTGACAAAAAACACCCCGACACACTTCCAGATATGATTTTTTTTTTTTTTTAATAAATAAAAGTATATAGATAGCGTTCAAAAGGGGAATGCATCCCGAGGGCAGTAGCCAAAAAGAGGTACTAGGAACCCAAAAAATCCATGATTTCATCTAAAAAAGATACAATTTCTCGCCCTCACCCAACTAAAAAGAAAACAAATAATAGAAAATTTCAGTGCCCCAATGGAAAATTCCTCCCCATCAAAAGATTTTCTATTCCACTCCATCCAAATGCACCACCAAACACAAAGGGGAGACACTCTCCAAAAATCCAGGGCGCGGACCGTCAATCAAATCCCTCAAGGACCAAGGCATAACCCACTAAACGTTGAACAAACCAAAAATAATACTCCAGTAAGCATGAGCCACAGGGATATGAATTATTTTTAAATGATCATTTAATAATTTCATTCTCCAAAGGGGGGTTTCTAACAAAAAAAGTACATATCTATTTCTAGGGTGAATGACTGTGACATACCTGAGGTTTGTCCAAATTAAAACCAGGTGAAACCTTTTAAAAAAGAATCGTCCACCTCCCTAGAGGTTTTGAATAATTACTCTGACCGCCCTATCATTAATTAGAGGTCAAGTCCGTAAATTAGATATTTTTTTAAATACCCTTACATGAAGTAAAATGACTTAAATGAGCTTATTAACTATGTCAAATGACATTTGACCCAAATTTGATTGAACAAAAATACCTTTACTATACAAAATTAGTCCAGCCTTCACTTCAGTTAAGCAACTGTAGAGAGAGAAAGAGGAAATTTTAGAGAGAGACAGATCATGTGCTGTGGTACGGTGACGATGATTGCAGACCTCTGGGCTTCCTTCTGGGATATGATGAGGAAAAGGAACTTGTGTCTAAACCTTATCAAGGTCCCAATTCAGGTCATCGAGTAGATCACATCTCAGACCCCTTGTTAGATTTTTCACTTCAACCTTCATATGTTATTTAATTTCAGTGTGTGCCCTCTTTATATCTATCTTCGTGTGTCCTAATGATATACTGATTCACCAGGCCATTGTACACTCAATTTACAAAAATTAGAATTGTCCTTTGCTTGAAAAACAAAAAAACAAAAAAAAAAAAAAAATTAAACACAGATTCATTGTCTGAAACCTATATAAAAATTAAAGTGTGTATTTATTATTCAAATTCTAAAAGCCACAAAGTTACTGAAACCCTAGCCCTTAGTCCTTTTCTACTCACATAGGGAAAATGAGTGTGTAATTTTGGTGGAACTGTGAAGTGATAAAATGGAGGTGAGGCTTTTATACGTGTGCGTGTGTGTGTATAGTATATATATATATAAATAGTAGAGATACTGTAATAGGAAGATAAAATGGGAGTGAGGTAACTTCTGAGTATCAATTAGCAATCTATTTGATGGTGACATGGCCCTCAAATATCAATAAATTCCAAAGGATCATGAGCGGCAACAACAGAACGGCCATGGTGTATTTGATTTGTGGAGAGAGAGAGAGAGAGTGGAGTGGTGGTGGCGAGACAAAGAGATGTGGAGAGGGTGGTGGTTGTTGGATGCATAGAGGTGATATATATATATTATAGAGAGAGTAAAATTATTGGTGAAAAATCAGAAAATGTGAAGCATTTTAAAGGTTTCAAGTGTAGAGAAGTAATTTTGTAATAGGAAGATAAAATGGGAGTAATTTTGAATCTGACAATGGGTGTCAGAGAGATTTTTCAAATAGATTCATCCATGAGTAATATATATATATATAGATATATTTAATCCAACTATTTTGTGTGAGTGGGGGATGATGTAAATTCCATCAGATGTGTCCAACTTTCGGATCCTCTATCACAACTCTAAGATGAATGATGGACAACACCATTAATGGTACCATAATCATTGCATTCTTTTAACCAAACAAATTATATATAGCAATATTTAATCCAAGTTCAATCAATTGGTAAGCCTACATGCATATGTCTAGTTATTGTTTTATAGGTACCATGACATTCATATTTTCAAGGTACAAAATCCTTGAAGTCTTGAAAATGCAACCAAAAACAACTGCACATAAACACCTTAAGAAATAATTTGGAAGACAGAAAATGGTTTAACTTAATTTCCGTAGACGTAAAAAAATTTAAGAGACATATATCTTACCAAAGAAATTAATGGGCCTTCTTCTTCATCAGTTGTAACATGAGTCATCAAGGCCAAGTTTTTCACCAATCCACAAGCTTCACCTTCTGGAGTATCACAAGGACATAGCATGCCCCACTATAATTCAATGAGCACAAACCAGAGGTACAGTTAAATACAGAGATAAGATCTGACTGCAAAAGCCTACGAAATCACGTGAGAAGGATATACTTCAAAAGGCTGTAAAGGCTTGATAAACACATCAGCCTTACCTGGCTCGGTTGCAATGCTCTAGGTCCACTAACTTTCCTAGACTTCTCAAATTGCGGCGAGATCTTTGTCATGTGGCCCAATGTCCCCATAAAAGATAGCCTAGCTACAACCTACCAAAAGAAGAATTTACCTTGAGACCACAGTATCTTCTTAATTTTAACCAGAAGCATAGAAAGGCCACACTAGAGCAAAGCAAATAAGAGAGGGGAAACAAACAACCTGTGTCATGCCTTTCCTGTGCATCCTGAACCGTTTCACATCAAAGTTGCCAGTAGAAAGGGTCCTTTCTAGGCCAACAGTAATAGTGTCTTTGACTATATACTGCGGAAAATTAGAGAAAAGGAAGTCACCAGATTATGGCATCTATTTCAAGAATTATTCATACATTACAAGGTATAAGAAGAAGTACAATAAAAAAATTTGTCAACTCAAATCAGTGTAGCAAGAAAATTACTGTGACTTTGCAACTCGTGAATTTCAACTCAATCACCAACAAATAGATTAAGACACCGATGACAGATTACATTTTTTAAACTGTTTATGATGTGGAACCATTTGAATGAAATTTAGTTACAGTGATGGGCAACCTTACTTGAGAAGTCACAACACTAGTACATGCTGAGTAGTTGTGTCACCATGGAAGATCAAAAGAGAAGTCTAAATAGTAGAGAAAGTTTACCTAGACCACATTGTAGCCCACATGATGGAAAATTAGAAAAGTACTAAATTATGAGGTTCTTGTAAACCCAAAATAAATATATATTTATAAGTATCCATTGAAAAGTTCCCAAAAGAAGTGGACCCAAAAAACATATTTGGTCTTTGAAGGCTTAGATATGATGGAATACTTCTATTGATCACTTGGAAATCGGAAAGATAAGAAGTTTATAAAATAAAAAAAGTACTAGCTGTGAGATACAGTTTCTTTAAGTGAACATTTTTCTGAACTTCTTTCTTTATTACCATGATGATTATTTCCCGAAACCCACCAAGGAATATTAACTTCCCTATTCAGGTTTTAGGACTTAAAAGGTTTCTATCTTCTGAAGTACTTAACTCTTGGAAGGAGTAACACAATAGGCATCTTCTTGTATCTGCATATAATGTATTTTCTTCACAAACATTTTTTTGGCGTTACTATTTTCTCCACTATTCCGCAAAATAATTCAACATGTATACAGAGACTCAAAGTAAGTTAAATGAAAATGTACAAAAACTGTTTCTGGTGTTAATATTTTCTCCACAATTCCGCAAAATAATTCAACATGTATATAGAGACTCAAAGTAAGTTAAATGAATCTGTACAGCACTTAAATTTTACACACTATTTTAAGCTATGCCACCATATCTAGATGTACGTCCTGCCATAATGTATTGTTGTTGTCCTTGTAAACAAATTGTGTGTGCAAGGGAATCCAAAACCAAAAGCTTTCTAAAATTTGTCTTCAGATTTTCTTTTTTTTATCTGACTTTTAACAAAACAAAGAAGTACCATGAGGCTTAATCCTAAATAATGTTGTCACCTTTACCTTTAAACAAGATCAAGACACTCACCTGAGAGACGTCTAATGGACTAGACCGATGCTTTCCTAGAATGAGATCTATGTTCTTCCTGATTTCATCATTCATCGTCTTGAACAAATCCTACAAAAATAAAGCCCACCAAGAAAAGTAAAACCAATGGGAAGGATTTTGACTATTATTGGCGTGAAATAAGTTAACAAATACTACCTCAAAAAGTAGAGATAATAATTGACCAGATAGCTCCAACCGCTTGTTCCCAACATAGTCCTATAAAGAATTTATTTAAACATTATAATCAATAGTTCATGAGCATGCAGTGACATCTTCTACAAAATTCCTTATATATAAATATATAGATGCTTGTGGTAAAATGATAATCATTTATAAATAATTCACAAAGATGGGATTTCGAGGTGAGGTCAAAAAAATGTTTCAACAGATTTGAGTGACATGTGGACTCCTGAAGAAGCTACCAGTAGTTTGAGTCACCATTTCTTAGTAGCTGTAGATCCTCGCTCTTTGGCTCTTCTGCAGCTAGTTCCAGTCAAATTACCTTCTGATTTTATTCCTCTTAGTGAGTTGAAGCAGGAGTGACAGGAAGTAACCAAGGATTTAGAGTACAAAGATTACAAAAGAAGGTGCCTAGAAATGGATATAACAAACCTAAAATAAAAGTATTCTCCAATTGCCTTCATTTATTTACTCTTCCATTAATTTTTTTTCTCTTTCTTCATGGGTGGGTGTGGTGTGTGTGTGTATAAATCAGGATTTTTTTTTCTTGTTTTGTTTGTGCACAAGAACTGAACCATTGATATTGGTCCCCACACTAAAATGAGTATGTAGAAAAGCATGACAGACGACTTTTTGAAGGTCCAAAAGCCTCCTATTCTAAAGTAAAAGGAAATTTATGTTCAAGTACATATTTTATAGTTTCATATTTAGGAAGAGGAGAGTTACTCTTTGGTCTGTAGGACAAAATCTGTGTACTAAAAGGTAGACTTTGCATGTAGATTGGCTAGTGCCTTCATATGTAATTATTACTACCACCAATAAAGAGCTAAAGAATAAAATCAGGAAGTGGAATTCAATTTACCTTGTCATCCATTGCATCTTTGTTTAAGATTGCTTCCATCATACGTCTTAACATTACAGCAACATATATACATTTTGCACGAAAATTATGTTGCCGCACCTAAAGTAAAGGAGGGAAAGAAAGAGAGTGAGAGGAGTGGGGGAAAAAGTTGAAAAGATTATTAGTGCATTGAAATTTTAGATTCTGAACAAAAACTTACTGGAACATTAGCAATAAATACATCACGTAGGATACCCAGAGCTCTGCCTTCCTAATTGTAGTATTAAAAAAGATAGGTGAAAATATATTGTGTTGCAATCAGCATATCAAATATACAATGATATCCCTTGATTGAGAAAAAGAAACAAGTTGACGAAATGGACAAGACAAGGGTAAACCTTTTCAAGTAGAGCATAAAAAAATGGATATCCCTTGATTGAGAAAAAGAAACAAGTTGACGAAATGGACAAGACAAGGGTAAACCTCTTCAAGTAGAGCATTAAAAAATGGCATTTTTTTAACCTGCAACAGCAAGCAATACAAGTTAAAAACATAAACAGAAAATGTAGCATACTACATTTAAAAAATGTAAAAGCATGCATTGAAGCACAATCAGGTAGATCAACATCAAATTTATTACCGCAAAACAATTAAACCAATGCTTCCTAGAAAAATGAAGAAGCAGATCTATACTAACAATGATAACATTCTAATGCAGGTTCTGCCTGCACTGTTGGCTGCATTGAGATGGCTTAAAGCTAAAAGTTGGTAGTAACCTGAGAAAGTTTAATGGTGTCACTTCTCATTGCTAACCAGACAATAAATTGATGCAACCAAACCGGCACACTAGATTCGCAGGGACAATCAATTGATATAACCAAGCCACACAAGAGTCCCACTTGATTAAGGAGAAACCACTTAAATCCTCGCAGGGAACTTGTAAGGATTATAAATTTTTTTATCATAAAACTCAACCAATCATGTATTGAAGGCAAAGACATGTTTATCAGATTTCTCATGCCATAACTAAAACTTTGACTAGACATTTTCCAAGGCTATTAATTATTATTTGAATCAGACCCTCCTCATTTACCATGATCTATTGAGAACCCCTTTCTTTCTTCTTTTCCTTACTCGAACAAAACACAATAATTTTCTTTCACTCGCAAAGAACATCTTTTCATCCCAATCTCTTTCTTTAAATTTAGAAGATTTCCAAAGCTTGCTTGAACCACATATCACGAAACAAAACCTGAATAAATCTGATTTTTGAATTGGAACAACTCCTAGCTGTATGTCGCACCAAGAATCCATCCCAAATCAAGTCATGAATATGGAATTCATGATTTTTCAACTCCGTGAACAAAGAAGACTCATTTCTAACCAAATTATGCAAGTAAACTTCTTCGGATGGATTTTCTAATGAACCCCTTACCATTGGAAATTCAATGGTTCTATCATCAAAATTTTCATAAAATTGTCTGTTGACGAACGTAAGTTCTGAAATTTCTACTTCTTGGGAATCATCTTGAGACATTTCCTTCAATTTCTTCAATGGTTCCAACTTCCTCAACTCAAATCCACGATATGCAGACTGAATAATTATAGCAGCTTCAGTTTTTGACAAGTTCTTGGCTTCTTTTTCAGACTTTTCCTCTTCTGCCTTATTTTTTTCTTCATATCCCAATATCTCATCTTCTTCGTCTACACATCCAAAAGATTCTTCAAATGTTGAGGTGCCATCAACATAATTCCCAAGATCATCCTCCAAAAAGAGTTGTTTTCCGTCAATATTTTGGCTGTTTACATTTCTTGGGAACTTGGCGGACTTGCATCCTGAACCTTCGCATGTGTAGGACCAAAATTCAGACTCTTGGGCATCGTTCACCTCTGTTGTCCAAGTGTTTTTTGACTGTTGCTGATGTGGCAGCACCCAATTTTGCACTTTTGAACTGTTTATGCTGCTGACGTCTGTCTCTAGTAGGTTGTTCAGTCCAATTTTCACTTTTGCAGTGCTTATGCTGCTGAATAATTTCTCTAGTAGTCTATTCTGTGAAACATTCAGATTGATATGCATCCATTTGTCTCTTAGTGTCCAGATTAAGGGGAGAAATGATTCCATGTTGTTCTAAAATAGTGGTCAGTCAAGAAATTTGATGTTGCAAATTCTTAAAGTCTTCTTTTGTGGCTATCTTGATTTCTTGCCTAGCCGTAGATCCACAGTAATCACAGATCTTTCCAAAAGGCTCTGATACCACTTGAAGTAAACAGAAAAACACGCAGAAGTCTTCTTACAACACTAAGGAAGACTAGGATTACTCCAATCACCGTTGGAACCTAGATTTCTGAAGAGAAATCTGGGAAAAGCCTTAAGAGAAGTTTATACTCTGAAACAGCTCCAATTGATATTAATAAAGACTTGAATACATCAAATATAGAGGCCTATCCTTTTTATAATAAAGACTTTTAATGTCTCTTCAATTCTCTAGACTGACTTTTAGACTACCAAAGAGCATTAATGACAGCTTTTACCATTCCCATGACATTTTCAGATTTCCACTGGCATAATTAGAACTTTGACTATAAACTTTCCAAGGCTATTAATTATTATTTGCATCACAATAGCATAAGCTTTCTGAATTTGAATTTCTAAAAGCCCAAATTATTCTCAAAATAATTGGAGGATAACAAAAGAGAAAATGTAAATCGAAGAACCATGCTTCTAGGGCATATGAATCAAGTCAAATAGGAAATTACCACCATTATAGTTGATAATGACACAAAAATCAGTGTCATTATTAGCAAACACAACATGGTTTACTTTTAATCTGAACTAGGTCAACTCTAAATCTATACATGAACTCTTTTTTTTCTTGATAACAATATAGACAGCATGCTGAAAAACCAAAAGGCCATCAGAATGGGGAAAATTATTATTCACCTACATAAAAAACTTTAAGATACATTTAGTTCTCTTTTCAAATATTTCCAAAGCTTCTAATTGTAGATTCAAAAACCATACTAAATGTCATATTGCAAAGTTTGATGAAGTTATTCTGGTAAGTAAAAAAAAAGGTTTGCAAAAGCCGGAATTCAGGCCAACATTAGACCACCTACTGAACCTTGTTATTAAGTGGCATCTAAGCAACTTAGAAGAGAGTTCTTGCATCGATTAACAGCATAAATGTGTGATTATCTTCTAACAACACAATAAGGACTGAGTTACTGTTAATCCCTCAATCAGCAAAAATTCAGCAGAAGAGAGTTCCTGCATCCATTAACTCCATCAATGTGTGATTTTTTTTTTTTTTTTTGATAAGTTATCAATGTGTGATTATCTTCTCGCAACACAGTAAGGACTGGTTTACAATTAATCCCTCAATAGGCAAAAATTTCTTAAACTGTATGCTAAGATGTCAGATATCGACATCAGATCTCAACAATGCTCTCTATGCCTCTCGCATGCATTTACCTACATTGATTCTTAAAATGCAAACACAACAATTCAATCCCCCATTTCATCATAAGCCAGTTAAGATGAAGTGGTTAAATTACATAGCAGAAAAAGAAACAATTCAACAATGTGGCCACCGCACAATAAAATAAGGCATTTAACCAGCTAGTTAAGTATTATAATAGTAAACTTCCTATGGAGAATTTAAAATTTTGAACCAGAACTAAAAGGATCCAAAAAAATAAAATTATAATTATAACTGGAAAGATGTCAAATCATTCCATTGGCCAACCTAGTTTCAGTAAGGATTGGTCCAGATAGTTGATAGTTCCCCCAAAATTATATTAAGAAGAAGAAATTTTACAATGTACTTCAAGGTACTCTGGAAGCATTATAATTTTTAAGAGAGATTCAAAACATCAATTTATTTTACAGTGAATAAGTAAAGTAGCACACCTTCTTCTCAAGAAACTCCAGGGCTTGCTCTTGTGTATATACATTATGGCTTGCACATTCCTGAAATTGGAGCAACAAGGTACACTGATAAAGATAGTACCAAAAACTGTTGGAAAATGAGGCAAAAAAAAACCATTGCAAAATAAGAAGGGAGATAAAAAATCAGAAGTTCACAAGGGCAGTATCGTAAAAATGACATGAAGTAAAGAAAAAAAATTTAATGATACAAGCAGTCAAGAGGGATTCATCATTCATCAAGAGCATAATACAGCAATGCCCCAAAAGTAACTTCAGCAAACAAAAAGAGGGCACGAGTTTATTTTTTAAAAAAATACAATACATATGCTACAGAAATATTTGACTTCCAAATGGTATAGTTTAAAGTTTTCAATTTCATATTCAAAATAGTAAGTTTTATAATTATCAATTCTTCTAATTTGGACCCACTAACTTGTATGCAAGTTAAACACTGTTCTGCTGCAAGCCTGCAACACATTTTTTTTCCTATTTTCTTAACAATAAATTGGTTAATCAGTGGGAGAAATGACATATTTTTTATTTCAAAAAAAAAAAAACACACACACACACACACATAGAGAAGAGAGAGAAAAGAAAAGGGAAACGGTCTCCTCAAGAAGAAACAAAGATGAAACAGTAGGACCAACACAAATTAGAAGCTAAACTTGGAGAGCTTGCTTAAATAGTTGTAACATATCTATGTCCATCTCAATAGAAGCCAGCTTGGAGCCATAGTTGGTGATTATTTTATTCATTAAAACTTAATGGAGCCACGTGCATAGTGTGTCCCTAATCTCATGGTAACCTTTATTCTAGCCATTTAATTATTATTCAGCATTCCAATATAGTTATTTTCACCCAACAGGAAAGAGGTGAGATTGTAAAGGATGGATCAAGTGGATGAGTACTTCTAGTATATTGTATGATAGGGTATATCTTTAAAAAATAAATGTAATTTCATGAAACATCTACAACGCCTGCCATACTTTATGGGACAGGTGGTTAAAAATAACAATTTTACAAAACGAGCCTAGGTAAATGTGTATGTCAAAATATAAGTGTAGAGAATAACAAAGGATAAAATTAAAAATGAACAAATTCGTGATATGGCATGAGTGCGCACCTGTCAGAGATCGAATGAGATAGAACAAATCAAGGTCATATAGCAATGTACAAAGAAAACTAAAATTACATCACTCTGGAAAAGTGAATGATCCGCCATAGTTGTTAAGGGCACACCTAGGCTCCAAAGAAGCCCCAGGCTTGTCAAGGCTCAGCTAGAGCGTCTCAACCTAGTACACGCCAGGCTCCTTCAGTCAGGCTCACATATAGCCCTCCCACTAATGTTTTTTATTAGGCCCCAGGCTCAAAAAAAATGTGCCTTGTATTTTTAATCATTTATTCATATCATTTTCACTTTTATTTAATGACTGCTAAATTAAAATGTTCTATATCATATATCGTATTGTTTAACTTTATGAAATATTTGACAAAATTCATAAATTTAGTGGTTCACTACATACATTAACTGCAATTAGTGCTTGATGATTATGAATATATATAATAATATAAGTTATAATATACAATATAATTACATGCGTGCCTTGCGCTTAGGCTCCAAAAGGCCTTTGGCGCCTTGAGCCTTTAACAACTATGACAGATGCAAAAGTAGGGAAGGTGAAAACCAAATTAACTTGGGTTGAAATGATAAGGAGCAAATAGCAGAATGATAACACAAAATTCATGTAACCACCCCAAATAGTTCTGACAAGGCTTTATTAATTTTAGTAAGGTTCTCTCACATTGATCACTGGAGTATGTTAGAAGCAAACATAAGAATCCATGCCACTAGAACCTAAAAGGGTGTATGGTGCTCCTTTAATGTGATAAAATGATTCAAGATTTTACACAGGAGCTTTAAACCCTTAACACAAGTTGTGAGAACAATAGTCGAGTATTTATCACTTGTTTTGATTTAAGTTGATCCCTATGCAATAAGCTATTCCGGCTTGTGGTTCCTAGACACGAGAAACTTTTGGCGTGCAACATTAGCATTGGGCCTAGCAAGGAGGTGGCAAATAAAACTCCTTTCAAACTCTCCCTGAAGATATTTCTGATAACAACATTCTTTAAACTTCTAATATCCTACACCACAAGTGGTACCTCAATAGATGGCAAAAGTAGTGCACTGTATCGAGGATCTCTTCCAACCATCTGCACAACCTCTTGATCACTCTCCATACCCATAGCCTTCATGACCACCATAATAGGAACCTATAAGAGAATTTAAAACCCTTTCTTAGACAAAACAATGATGCGAAAATAAGAATAAAAAGAGAGGAAAAGAAATACATAATGACCTTTGTAGAAAATTGATTTAAATTTAAATATATCTTCTCTTTCTCCATTACAATAGATGTTTTACTTTTTCTTGTCTCTGTGCTGCTCGTGACAGACGCTTGTATACTGAAAAAATAAATAAATAAATAAAATAAAATTTAAGACGAAGGAACAACCCAAAGCAGCCATGGAATCCATGAAGTAGCAATAAACCATGTCCAAACCAATTCAAAAAGTACACCATGTTTAAATAAGATGTGGGTTGGGGGTTAGGAGACTCACTCCCTTCAAATGATGCCCTGTTGGGTATTTATAAAAAAAATAGTAATAATGCCCTATTGGGTAAGTGGTTCAGGAGATTAAGGGAGCAGAGGAATAGGCTCTAGAGGAGGGTCATTTGTTCGAAGTTTGGTGAGGATAGGGGTGGTTGGTGTTCTTCAGAAGTGAAGGGGGCGGCTGGAGTTGGGGTTTGGAAATTCATTTGGAAGAGCTGGGATGAGTTTTAAATCATATTCGCTTCAAGGTGAGGGATGGTAGTAGTATCTGGCTTTGGAAGGATCATTGGCGTGGAGATCGATCCTTAGCTTGTTCCTATCCTAGGCTATTCAGGATTGCAACCAAAAGACATGCCATGATTGCTGGCTGCAATCGTCATGAGATTGGTAAGTGATCAGACACTTCCTTTTCCATGGAAGGCCATGTGACGCAGGAAGCCCCCTTGACAGTGGACTTTTTTGCTTGGACAATAGCTTTGGGCCAGATCCTTACAATGGACAACTTGCAAATTATAGTGAGCGGATGCTACATATGCAGAAGGGATGAGGAGACAGTGGATCATCTCCTTCTCCATTGCCCAATGGCTCGTGATTGCTAGGTTATGTTCCTTGGCCTCTTCGGGGCACAGTGGGTTATGTCTCTTTCTGCGAGAACTGCTCTTGAGGCTTAGAGAGGTTGCATTGTGGGAGCTCAGGCTTGAGATGCTTGGAGAGTTGTGCCATTATGTTTTCGGTGGTCTTTGTGGATGGAAAGGAATAGGAGGTCCTTCAAGGGAGAGGAAACTCCTATTAGTGTGCTAAAGTTCTCTATCCTCCACACTTTAGTTTTTTGGCTTCAGGGGAGAAACTGTAAATCTATGGGGGAGTTAGTGGGTTTTGTGGATACTCTGAGAGTTGTGCTAAAGGCCTTTGATGACACAACAGCTCTATCCTTTTCTTTATGTTTCACACTAACAACATTAGTGCACTTCAACCAGGTTTGTGTTCACAAACTCATTCAGTTTTCACCCAGCATAATAATCTACATTATCAAAGAAGAATTTCCACCCACAATACATCATATGTCAAAAAACATAAACAAACGGATAACAATAAGTGTAACCAAAACACTTCAAAAGAGGGATTTAAGCAACGCCAGCAATCACAAATACTATCATTTGGCTGGTAAACCATGAAAAAAAAAAAAAAAAAAAAAAAAAAAATCAGCTATATATTTCATTCACAGATAAGGGTAAGCAAAAGGTAAAATAGTAAAAGGAGTCAATACTTCGAGCTTGCTATTTATTTTCTCATTACACCCCCTGTTAGTATATATTTTTAACTTTATCATTTATTTTACATTTGTTTTTGGGCAAGATCGTTGAGATTGTGTTAATTGAAAGCAAAACTGTGCAGAGGACAATCATAGCCAAGTTAAGCACCATGTCAAATAGTTAACTCCAACAATAAACAAATGAAAATTTTAGAAAAGAAGGGAAGAGATATAAAAATAATAATTAAAAAAGAAAAAAAGAAGAAGAAGAAGAAGAAGAGGAGGAAGAATTAAAGGACAATATAAAACAAGCAAACCATAAAATGAAAACTACTCACCACCCCTTGTTGTTAGTATCGATAATTATTCTATTCTTTGAAAGTTGTTCTTGTATCAGAATCACCTGGAAGAGACGGTAGAGTTAAAGCCATGCTAACAACAAGGAACTACATAGACATATGGAAAGACATTCTAACTGTGACAAAAAAAAGTGACAGAAATTATATGTAATGCAGACATGTGAAATTAATAAGTTCATCAAAAAGTTAATGCGACAGGAAATGCAAAACATATTAGGACATGAATGAATGAACTTGGGCCATTACATTCCTTTATTTCTGTTAAGAGTTATTATTTTTTTCAGTCAGTTATTAACTCCTTTGGATATATTAACCTAAGGGTATTATTGTATTTGTCTCACGTTTAATATAAATATATGACAGGGAGAAAGGGCAGATTGATTGAGCGTGCCCTTAACCCTTTCTCTGAACATCTTCTTTTCCTCTTCTCATCTAACCCTAATTTTCCTCTTCTCATCTAACCCAAATTCTCAGTATTTTACACTCTAACTTGGTATCAAAGCAAACAATCCGACGCAACTAAAGCCCATCAAAATTATTTTGACAGTAATTGGGAGATCAGCATCCTCAAATTAAGGTGCTAATATCATCCTCGTTGTGATGAGGTCAGCACAAACACGATGTCAGCATGTGATGAACCCATCTCTTGGATCGCTTTCTCCTCCTGGTAATTGCGGTGATTTTTCTGTAATTTTTTGAGATCTTCTGATGGGTGTTTTCTAATTTGGAAACATTTTTTGAATTTTCGGCTGGTTTTGGTTCATCTGTTTTTGGGTGAGTTTTTGGCTCAAATTTCTGGAAGTCATCTACACAGAGAGGTGCAACTAAGCCTCTAGTGTCAGTGTTTTTTTTTATGGATTTGGTTGCTTCGAAGGTGGGCTGCAGTTATTTTTTTTGGTTCAATCCGTCCCTGAATAGTTCCCAGCAGTATTGTTTTGGTTAATTTTGGTCCTCTGTCAAGGTGTCTCCACCCACACCCACCCACCCCCACCCCCCCCCCCCCCCCCCCCCCCCCCCCCCAAGCACACACACAAACAAAACAAAACCCCCTTTCTTGGTCTGGATTGTTTTGGTAGTATTGGTCCTTTTCACTGAACAGTTCCCAGCACAATTGTTTGTGCTGCTAGTGGGACCTTTTCACTTGATAGTTCCCAGCACAATTGGTTAGTATTGGTCGTTAGTAGCTTTAAAAATCAGATTGCTACTAGTGAGACCTTGCCTACTTCTGCTAATGCTTATTCTCGATTATTGTGCTCATCTTTGGGACAGAGCTCCACTGCCATTTGTTTAGAGTCTTCTGCTTTAGTCTCCAGTAATGGAGGTTGTGGGTCTGGTTCTAGTGGTGGTTGTGGAGGCCGTATCTCTCGTGGTGGTTCGAGAGGGGGTGGTCGTGTTAGTGGTCGTGGTGACAGGAAATATGATCATTGTGGTGCTACTAATCACACTGAGCCTTATTGTTGGGTGAAGTATGGAAAGCCGAATGATTCACAACACATTCGACTCCTACTTTATCTGGACATGTAACTCCCGGTACTAGTTCAAATAATGAACTCACTACTCAGCTTAGCGAGCTGGTTCAGACACTGCGCACTGCTCTTCCCTCTTTTTCCACTGCTACATTGCCTAATTCAGGTAATATTGCATGTGTAGCCCATTCACCTTCATCCTGGGTAATTGACTCTAGAGCAACCTCCCATAAGTCTGGTATACCTTCTATCTTTTCTGATTTGAACCCCATTAAACATCATATTGTATTAGCTGATGGTTCTTCTCGGCCAGTCCTAAGGATTCTTCATCCCATTAATTCCTTATCCTTACCCTATAGTCTCTATGTTCCTGACTTTCCCTTTAACTTACTTTATGTTAGTCAGCTAACTAAATCATTAAACTGTTCTATAACCTTTTTTCCTACTACTTGTCTTTCAGGACCTTAAGACGAAGAAGATGATTGGTTTGGGGCATGAGAAGGACGGCCTATATTATCTGGATCACGGTGGCTCTTCCTTTTCCATTTCATCTGCATTCCGTGCTACAATTTCACTTCTTCAGTGGCACTTCCGTTTGGGTCATCCATCATTGGCCAAACTCAAGTTAGCTATTCCTTGAGTCATGTGTCTAGCTTAGAAAGTGAAGCTTGTGCGTTGGGCAAGCATCACCGAAGCTCTTTTTCTCGTAGTAGTCATGATCGTCATTCTGAGTCTTTTGTTGTAGTCCACACGGGCATATGGGGACCTTCCTGCATTTCTAGTTAGAATGGATTTCGTTATTTTCATATGAGTTGGTTATTCTCATATGAGTTGGTTATTTTTAATGAAAGAAAGGTCTGAGCTACCTAATATCGCTTTTAAATTCTATAATAAGATCCTTGTCCAGTTTGGTAAACACATTAAAGTCATTTGATCTGATAATGCATTAAAATACAGTCAGTCTGTCATAGTTTCCTTTTGTAATGATCATGGTATTATTCATCAAACTAGTTGCGCTCACAACTCTCAACAAAATGGTGTTGCTGAACAGAAGCATCGTCATCTGTTGGATGTTAGTCGTACCTTGATGTTCAATATGCACGTACCAAAACATTTTTAGAGTGATGTTCTTACTGCATTCCATGTCATTAATCGTACGCCCTCTATTGGTGAAGCAACACCTCCAGCGACGGTGATCGTGATGGAGTAGCTCTTTTGAGGGCTGAGTTTACTGAGTTCCAGACCAACGTTAATCGAACCTTGCTTGATATGCATGAAACTATGCGTCAAGTATTGGCGAGATTGACAACGATAGAACTTAACCGCAAGAACAACAGGCTGCCCAACGACGGTGATCATGGACGTCCTGCTGGTAATCGCAACCCAAACCCACCGAATAGGCAACCAGCCTATGAGGAAATTGTCGGTTTTGGTAACCACCGAGCCGTACAAGTGTTTGGAGATAATCGAGGTCGATGGGAAATTGATGATTCCAAGGATTTTCGTCTGAAGATTGACCTACCCACCTTTCAAGGTCATCTTCGTATTGAAGTTCTTGGACTGGATTGGTGAAGTTGAAAGTTTGTTTGACTATATGAAAATCCAAGAGGAGAAGCAAGTCAAACTCGTGGTCTGTAAGTTCAAAGGCGGCGCATCAGCATGGTGGGATCAAGTGCAAACCACCCGTGCACGTGACGGTAAGGATCCGGTACGTACATGGGTTAAGATTAAGAAGTTGATGAAATCTCGATTTTTACCCCCTGATTAACAAGTTCTTTATTAGAAAGCAGGGAAGTAGAACGATTGCAGAATATGCTGAAGAATTTTATCGGTTGTCATCCTGTAACAACCTAGTGGAACTCGAATTTAGCATGGTGGCCCGTTTCAAAGGCGGGTTACAATGGGATATTGAAGAGAAAGTGGCGCTGCTTATTCAAACTGTCTGAGATTGTTACGGCGGCAGAGAGAGCAGAATCATTACTAGAGAAGTCAACGAATCGGTCTCGTGGTTCATATAATACCCAACGTCCTACACATGACATAGGTAAACAGACCGCGGTAGCACCTGTTCCAATGACATGGCGAGGCATTGGAGATGGTCCGACAAAGGCCAAACCCGCAGCACCCATAGGCCCTACTGGGAGGGGAGCCCCAGCTGTGAGACAAAATCCCTATGCACACCCCAGTATGGGCAAGTGTTTTTGATGTGGAGAACCTGGCCATAAATCCAACAAATTGCCCTAAGCGACCAACAGTAAATCTGGTCAAGCATGAGGAAGGCGAGGGTGAGGAAGGCGAGGGTGAGGAAGGTAAGTTCCTTACCTTTGAAGAAGAAATGGTGACTGAAGGAGACAATGGCGAGTTGTTGTCCCACTCTTTAGTCGTAAGGAGGTTGATGTTCACGCTAAAGAAAGAGGAGCACCCGCAGCGTCATAATGTGTTCCGTACACGTTACACTATCAACCATAAGGTATGTGACATTATTATTGATAGCGGCAGTAGTGAGAATATTGTTTCCTTGACAATGGTTCGAAAATTGGGGCTTAAAACAAAGAAACATCTCCATCCATACAAAATTGGATGGATCAAGAAAGGCTCAGAAACGCGAGTAATTGAAACCTGCACCGTTCCATTCTCAATTGGGAAAACATATGCAGAAGAGGTGCGTTGTGATGTAGTTGACATGGATGCATGCCATATGATATTGGGCAGACCATGGCAATTTGATGTCGATGCCACTCACCGTGGTAGAGACAATGTGTATATTCTATACAAGAATGGTCAGAAGATTGTTTTGGGTCCGATGAAAGAGGCCGAATTTCCCAAAGGAAATTCAGTTATGTTGATCAATAGTGAGGAATTTATGGGTGAAGTAACAACTGCCCCTGAAATCTTTGTTGTTATGTGCAAGGGGGAAGTAGTTAAACAACCTCCTTTTATAGTACCAGCAATAGTGCAGCCATTACTGCAGAAGTTTAGTGAGTTGGTGCCGGAAGACTGACCTGATAGTCTTCCTCCTAAGAGGGACATTCAGCACCACATTGACTTGGTGCCCGGGGCGAGCCTGCCAAATCTACCACATTACCAAATGAATCCCAATGAGAGTCAAATCTTACAAGAGCAAGTGGAAGAGTTATTACGGAAAGGGTTGATTCAGGAAAGCATGAGCCCATGTGCTGTTCCGGCATTGCTAGTACCGAAGAAAGATGGCAGTTGGAGAATGTGCGTTGATAGTCGCACAATTAACAGAATCACTGCCAAGTACAGATTTCCCATTCCACGGTTGGATGATATGCTGGATATGTTAGCGGGATCAAAAGTCTTCACCAAAGTGGACCTCAAGAGTGGATACCATCAGATCAAAATCCACCCTGGGGATGAGTGGAAAACATCGTTCAAAACAAAAGGATTGTATGAGTCGTTAGTCATGCCATTCGGATTATCCAACGCGCCAAGTACTTTCATGCGGTTGATGAATCAGGTACTCAAACCATTTATTGGTCGATTTGTAGTTGTTTATTTCGACGATATTTTGGTTTACAGTCAAACAGAGGCAGAACACCTTTTGCACTTGAGAGAGGTATTAACAGCTTTGCAGAAGAATAAACTGTTCATTAATCTGAAGAAGTGTAGCTTCGTGACCCCAAGCCTAGTATTCCTCGGCTATGTGGTTTGTAGTGATGGCATTCGGGTAGATGAGGAGAAGGTGAGGGCCATTCAGGAGTGGCCTACGCCGAAGAATGTGGGAGAAGTACGCAGTTTCCATGGCTTAGCCACGTTCTACCGAAGGTTCATCAAGAACTTCAATAGTATTATGGCTCCCATCACAGAATGCATGAAGAAAGGAAAATTCCAATGGGGAGGGGAAGCTGAGATAAGTTTTGCCTTAATCAAGGAAAAACTGTCAACAGCCCCAATCTTAGTCCTTCCAGATTTTGAGAAGCTATTTTAGGTAGATTGTGATGCCTCAATAGTGGGAATCAGAACAGTTTTATCACAAGAAGGAAGGCCAGTAGCATTTTACAGTGAGAAGCTGAGTGAAGCACGCAAGAAGTGGACTACCTATGAGTTGGAATTCTATGCGGTGGTGTAAGCTTTGCATACATGGGAGCATTATCTTATCCAGCGAGAGTTCGTGCTGTTTACAGATCACCAAGCACCGAAATCCATGAAAAATCAAAATAGTGTCAATCGGATGCACGCGCGATGGCGGCTTATATCCAGCGATTCACCTTCTCGCTAAAACACAAGTCAAGCCAACTGAACAATGTTGTAGATGCACTAAGTCGGAGAGCAGCTTTCTTAGTAACTATGAGGGCTGAAATCACAGGGTTCGAATGCCTGAAGGAGTTATATGAGGCTGCCGAACATTTTGGCCAAGCCTAGGCAGCATGTAAAACGAGCCAATCCTTTAAAGGGTCGCACATGCAGGAAGGATTTCTTTTTAATGGCAATCAGTTGTGTATTCCACGGAGCTCTTTGCGGGAGCAAGTGGTTCGTGAATTGCATGGAGGAGGATTAGAAGGACATTTGGGGTGTTAATAGACGCGAGAGTTGGTAGAAGAACGGTATTATTGGCCACAACTCAAACGTGACGTGGAGAACCATGTGCGGCGGTGCTCAATCTGCCAAACTAATAAAGGTCAATCTTAGAATACTGGTCTTTACACACCGCTGCCTATTCCAGATGCTCCATGGGAGGACTTATCCATGGATTTTGTTCTAGGGTTGCCAAGGACGCAGCGAGGAGCAGACTCTGTTTTTGTGGTGGTCGATCGATTCTCCAAGATGTCCCATTTTATTGCATGTAAGAAGACGAACGATGCAGTCCAAATGGCCAATCTGTTCTTTAAGGAGGTGGTTCGTTTACATGGGGTGCCACAGTCCATTACCTCAGATCGTGACACCAAGTTTTTATCTCACTTTTGGCGAACTTTATGGAAGAGATTCGATACCTCTCTTAATTTCAGTAGCACCAGTCACCCCCAGACTGATAGCCAAACAGAGGTGGTAAATAGGACCCTTAGAAATCTAATTCGCTGTATTTCAAGAGAGAAACCAAAACAGTGGGATCTTGCTCTTGCCCAGGCAAAATTTGCTTACAATTGCATGGTTAACAGGTCTACTGGCAAATCCCTGTTTGCGGTTGTGTATTGTTGTCCTCCAAAAGTTGCTTCAGATTTGGTATCCTTACTGAAGTTATCGGGGAAGAGTGTTGCTGCAGAGAAAATGGTTGAGCACATTAAGACCATTCAGGAGAGTGTCAAGAAACATCTAGAGGAAACTTACGCCAAATATAAGGCCACAGCTGACAAGAGACGAAGGAAAAGAGTATTTGAAGAAAGGGAACTGGTTATGGTGTATCTAAGAAAAGAGAGGTTTCCAGTGGGAACATACAATAAGCTGCAAGCCAAGAAATATGGCCCGTACCAAATTCTAAAGAAAATCAACGACAACGCCTATATGATTGATTTACCTACTGACATGGCCATTTCTTCTACCTTCAATGTGGCTGACATACATGAATATTATCCGCCAGATTTGGGTAACTCGGGGACGAGTTCTTTTTACGCAGGGGAGACTGATGTAGAACAGCTCGCTCACGATTATCTGCACATACAAGATTATCCTAAATCAGGGAGGCTGAAAAGGTAAGGAGAATAGAAGGAATAAATAAATAAGGAAAAGTCAAAAGAATCATCGCAAATCAGGGAGGCTGAAAAGGTAAGGAGAATAGAAGTAAATAAATAAATAAGGAAGAGTCAAAAGGAGATTTGGTGTAGTTGCCAGCAATAGAAGATATTATTCTCTATTGCAAGATTTAAGGAGGATTCTACTCCATCAAATCTCAGATTTCCCCTTTAATATTATTTCACGCATACTTTCTTTTTTTATTTTATTTTTGACTTGCCTATATAAAGACAAGAGATGTAAGTCTACAGACATTATAATTATCAATATAATTTCAATTTCTCTCTTGTGAGTGTGTTCTTTGTAAGTTCAAGGATTTAACCCTGTTCTTTATTGTTTCCGCTACGTTAGTTGTTGACAAATTTGGAGTTGCAAAATTGGAATTGAAGTTGGCTCAAAATATGTCATCACTTACATCATCAAGCTTTGCATATGTCATCACTTACATCATCAGGCTTTGCATATGTCATCACTTACATCATCAGACTTTACTTACATCATCGCTTACATCATCAGGCTTTGCTTACATCGACGTTTACATCTGCAAAGGGAGATTTGTTGGCTATAAATAGCCCTTGTATCTCATAGTTTCAAATCATTCGAAAATCATCCAAGAGCATTCAAGTGAGCGATGACATATGCAAAGCCTGATGATGTAATCGATGACATATTTTGAGCCAACTTCAATTCCAGTTTTGCAACTTCAAATTTGTCAACAATCTCCACCTTGGCGAAAAAAATTCTGTATGTCTTTTCAAACATGATCATGAACTGCCTCCAATTGCGCCCAAAGGCGCTCATACACACAAGATGTTAATCAAGTCTAAGCAATGCTCAAACTTGACCTTCGTTACAACCTTCGTCAGCATATCTGCGAGATTATCTGCAGTCCCAATCTTCTGAAGGAGAATATCGCCTTCATCCAAAATTTCACTAACAAAACGGAAACGGACATCAATGTGTTTTGTATGTGAATGATGAACCTGGTTCTTTGCCAAATAGATAGCACTTTAACTGTCGCAGTAGACATCAACATGCTCCTGAATAATCCCCAAGTCCTCAATCAACCCATGCAGAAATACGGCTTCCTTAATGGCCTCTGTCACTGCCATGTACTTTGCCTCTGTTGTAGACAAAGCAACTGTAGGCTGTAATATTGACCTCCAACTCACCGGTCCTCTAGCAAGTGTGAACACATAACCTGTAATTGACCGACGTTTATCCAAATCACCAGCGTAGTCCGAATCCACATATCCAACCAAATGCTGACCAAGTCTATCATCCCGCTCAAATTTCAAACCAACGTCCACAGTACCATGGATGTACCGTACCAATGACCTTTTCCTGGGTCATGCATATACCTGCTCACCATACTAACGGCCTGTGAAATGTCGGGTCTCGTACACACAATTGCATACATCAAACTTCCAACTGCACTTGCATACGGAACATAAGCCATTTGCGCACGCTCTTCATTTGTGCGTGGAGATAATGAAGCACTAATCTTGAAATGAGGGGCCAAAGGGGTACTTACATGTTTAGTATTCGAGTCAATACCAAACCGATGAAGCACCTTATTCAAATATTGCTTCTGAGACAAACAAACAATGCCCTTCATTCTATCTCTGCTAATCTCCATTCCAAGTATCTTCTTAGCTTCACCAAGATCCTTCATCTCAAACTCAGTACTCGACTGAATCTTTAACTTATCAATTTCAACTTTGCTCTTAGATACAATCAATATATCATCAACATATAAGAGCAAATATACAAATAATCCATCACGAAGCTTACGAAAATGCACACAATGATCAAAATGGCTTCTTGTGTACTGTTGCCCTTTCATGAACTGATCAAATCGTTTGTACCACTGCCTTGGACTTTGTTTCAACCCATACAACGACTTCTTTGATTTGCAAACCCAATTTTCCTTACCAGCAACCTTGAATCCGTCTGGCTAAGATATACAGATCTCCTCCTCCAAATCTCCGTGTAAGAAGGCAGTTTTAACGTCGAGTTGAGCTAACTCGAGGTCAAACTGTACAACCAAAGCTAGTAAAATCCGAATGGAAGAGTGTTTTACAACATGTGAAAATACCTCATTATAATCAATCCCTTCCCTTTGCGCGTAGCCTTTCGCCACCAATCTAGCTTTGAATCTCACACTGTCTTGCCCTGAAGAGCCTTCCTTCTTGGTTCATACCCACTTGCACCCTATAGCCTTCTTTTTCTTTGGAAGCTGGACCAACTCCCAAGTCTGATTCATATGAAAAGACTGCATCTCCTCGTCCATTGCTTTCTTCCAATCTACACTTTCTGAACTTCTGATAGCTTCTCTGTAGGTAGATGGGATGTCATCATCAACTATGGGTAGTGCGTATGCCACCATATCAGTAAACCATGCAGGTTTCTTTATTTTTCTTTTTGATCTACCAATTGCAATAGAATACGGTTGCTATGGAGACTCTTGGGTGGGAGCCTCCTCCTTATCTGTACCTGTTTCCTCATTATCTGGGTTACTGACAGGTCTAGCTGGAACAATTGGAGCCTCAAGCTCCACCTGCTGCGAAACTTCTTTGGTCATGTTCTCTGTAGAAGAACTTTTCAGCATAGAAGACTCATCAAATGTAACATCCCTGCTATTAATGATTTTCTTTAACTCGGGGCACCAAAGTCTATACCCCTTTACGCCTTCACTATAGCCCAAGAATAAAGCTTTCTTGACTCTAGGATCCAACTTACTCTCTTTAACATGAAAGTAGGCAGTACAACCAAATATTCGCAGAAGATCATAATCTGTAGCAGGTTTCCCAGACCATACCTCCATGGGCGTTTTGCCATCATTCGCAGCTGCAGGCAACCTGTTGATGAGATGGCATGCGTATGTCACAGCCTCAGCTTAAAACGCTTTGCCCAATCCAGCATTGGACAACATACATCTAACTTTTTCTAACAAGGTTTGATTCATGCGTTCTGCTACCCCATTCTGTTGTGCTCTCTGACTGTAAAGTGTCGAACAATACCCTCGTCCTGGCATACTTGTAAGAATGGGTCCGATATGCATTCACCGCCATTATCGGATCTGAGTCTTTTGGATTTTTCTGCCAGTCTAGGTCTCCATCATCTTCTTCCATTTCAAGAACACTTTTAAGACTTCATCTTTATGTTTCATGGTGTACACCCATACTCGTCTAGAGAAGTCATCAACAAATGAGACAAACCAATGCTTACCTCCCAAAGATGCAACTCTGGTAGGTCCCCAAACATCTGTGTGAACATAGTCAAGTATTCCCTTCGTGCGGTGTACTGCTATGCCAAACTGACTCTTGTCTGCTTACCCAGAACACAATGTTCACAAAATCCAAGCTTGCAGGTC